TTATCTTCAGTTCTGACATAGACGATACTAGAACTTGCACGAGAATGTCATTCATTGAGGACATGGTAAATCTCCAGGAGGATATAAACAAAGTTTGCCAATGGCCCGCGGACAACAATTTGATGTTCAATGAGGACAAATATTAGTTACTCCTTTACGGAAAACTTGAAGAAATAATACCTAGAAGGGAGCATACAACCAATTCTAACCACACAATAGAAAAAATAACTAATGTGAAGGACTTTGGACTGTTAATGTCAGAGGGATCGCACTTTCAAGGATCACAAACGCGTCAATATCTCATCTACGAGGAAAATGATAGGATGGATAATAAGAACTTTCAAAACAAAGGATGCAGTTCCAATAATGATCCTCTTTAACTCATTTGTTCTCTCTAGGCTGGAATACTGCTGTACACTAACAGCCCTATTTAAGGCAGGTACAATCACAAATCTAGGGAATATACAAAGAACCTTAACTGCACGTATTAGTTTGGTCAAACCCCTTAATTACTCGGAACGCTTGAAGTCCCTTGACCTGTACTCCCTGGAAGGCAGGCGAGAAAGATATATCATAATGTTCACCTGGAAAATCCTTGAGGGACTGGTCCCAAATCTGCACAAAGTAATCACTCCCCACAAAAGTAAAAGACTAGGCAGACGGTGCTACATACCAAAATAAAAAGCAGGGGTGCCTTGAGAACAATAAGAAAAAATACAATAAATGTCTGGGGCCTAAGACTGTTCAACAGCCTCCCGTCGTCCATAAAGACTATTTTTAATAGCCCCTTGGGTGTCTTTAAGAAGGAACTGGACAGATACCAAAAGTCAGTGTTTGACCAGCCGGGCCGTGGTTCTTATGCTGGATTGCTTGGCCAGTAGAACAACCAGTGACAGATGCAATAATCATACTATAAATTACCATGCACAATCCATAAAAACTTTACCATGCAACAACCATACAATTCATTACCATGCAATAAATATATTCTTCATAATCGTGCAATAAACATACAATTCATTGTCATGGAATACCCATACAATTCATCACCATGCAATAACCAAACAATTCATCACCATGCAATAACCAAACAATTCATCACCATGCAATAATCAAACATTCATCACATGCAATAACCAAACAATTCATCACCATGCAATAACCAAACAATTCATCACCATGCAATAACAAACAATTCATCACCATGCAATAACCAAACAATTCATCACCATGCAATAACCAAACAATTCATCACCATGCAATAACCAAACAATTCATCACCATGCAATAACCAAACAATTCATCACCATGCAATAACCAAACAATAAGTTACCATTCTAAAGTCGAATAACTCATTATGCTAAAATTACACTTGATTATCATACTATAACTATCCAGTTGAATATCAAGCAATAACAACATATTTTTTTACAATACAATAACGATAGATTTTTACCATGCAATAACTATACAATTCATTACTATGCAATAACCATACAATTCATTACCATGCAGTTACAACTGATTTTTTTACTATGCAATAATCATTCAATCTATTACCATGCAGTAAATTCATCATTATGTAAAAACAGTGTTTTATTACCTAGCAATCACTTGTCTGTTTATATATTGGAGACAATCGTGAAGAAATGTGAGTGCTTTTCTTCAGTTTATTTATTATTGTATCATCATGCAACCACACACAAACACTTAAATAAGAGCAGCTATTCAAGGGAGATTATTTACATGACCAGATGCAAGAATTTGGAGGTAAAGATGGAAATTTAACTCTCAAGAGACACAAGGTGACATCAGGACACATTCATCATTTGATTAGTAGTGTGCTGAGCAGTGACACAGTGTGCTGAGCAGTGACACAGTGTGCTGAGCAGTGACAGTGTGCTGAGCAGTGATAGTGTGCTGAGCAGTGACACAGTGTGCTGAGCAGTGACACAGTGTGCTGAGCAGTGACACAGTTTGCTGGGCAGTGATACAGTGTGCTGAGCAGTGACACAGTGTACTGAGCAGTGACACAGTGTGCTGAGCAGTGACACAGTGTGCTGAGCAGTGACACAGTGTGCTGAGCAGTGACACAGTGTGCTGAGCAGTGACACAGTGCGCTGAGCAGAGACAGTGTGCTGAGCAGTGACAGTGCGCTGAGCAGTGACACAGTGTGCTGAGCAGTGACACAGTGTGCTGAGCAGAGACAGTGTGCTGAACAGTGACACAGTGCGCTGAGCAGTGACAGTGTGCTGAACAGTGACACAGTGCGCTGAGCAGTGATAGTGTGCTGAGCAGTGACAGTGTGCTGAGCAGTGACACAGTGTGATGAGCAGTGATAGTGTGCTGAGCAGTGACAGTGTGCTGAGCAGTGACAGTGTGCTGAGCAATGACACAGTGCGCTGAGCAGTGACACAGTGTGCTGAGCAGTGACACAGTGTTCTGAGCAGTGACACAGTGTGCTGAGCAGTGACACAGTGTGCTGAGCAGTGACAGTGCGCTGAGCAGTGACACAGTGTTCTTAACAGTGACACAGTGTGCTGAGCAGTGACACAGTGTTCTGAGCAGTGACACAGTGTTCTGAGCAGTGACAGTGTTCTGAGCAGTGACACAGTGTGCTGAGCAGTGACAGGTGCGATGAGCAGTGACACAGTGTTCTGAGCAGTGACACAGTGTGCTGAGCAGTGACACAGTGTTCTGAGCAGTGACACAGTGTGCTGAGCAGTGACAGTGCGCTGAGCAGTGACACAGTGTTCTGAGCAGTGACACAGTGTGCTGAGCAGTGACACAGTGTTCTGAGCAGTGACACAGTGTGCTGAGCAGTGACACAGTGTGCTGAGCAGTGACACAGTGTGCTGAGCAGTGACACAGTGTGCTGAGCAGTGACACAGTGTGCTGAGCAGTGACACAGTGTGCTGAGCAGTGACAGTGTGCTGAGCAGTGACACAGTGTGCTGAGCAGTGACACAGTGTGCTGACAGTGACACAGTGTGCTGGCAGTGACACAGTGTGCTGAGCAGTGACACAGTGTGCTGAGCAGTGACACAGTGTGCTGAGCAGTGACACAGTGTGCTGAGCAGTGACACAGTGTGATGACCAGTGACAGTGTGCTGAGCAGTGACAGTGTGCTGAGCAGTGACACAGTGTGCTGAGCAGTGACACAGTGTGCTGAGCAGTGACAGTGTGCTGAGCAGTGACACAGTGTGATGAGCAGTGACAGTGTGCTGAGCAGTGACACAGTGTGCTGAGCAGTGACAGTGTGCTGAGCAGTGACAGTGTGCTGAGCAGTGACAGTGTGCTGAGCAGTGACAGTGTGCTGAGCAGTGACACAGTGTGATGAGCAGTGATAGTGTGCTGAGCAGTGACAGTGTGCTGCGCAGTGACAGTGTGCTGAGCAATGACACAGTGCGCTGAGCAGTGACACAGTGTGCTGAGCAGTGACACAGTGTTCTGAGCAGTGACACAGTGTGCTGAGCAGTGACACAGTGTGCTGGAGCAGTGACAGTGCGCTGAGCAGTTGACACAGTGTTCTTAACAGTGACACAGTGTGCTGAGCAGTGACACAGTGTTCTGAGCAGTGACACAGTGTTCTGAGCAGTGACACAGTGTTCTGAGCAGTGACACAGTGTGCTGAGCAGTGACAGTGCGATGAGCAGTGACACAGTGTTCTGAGCAGTGACACAGTGTGCTGAGCAGTGACACAGTGTTCTGAGCAGTGACACAGTGTGCTGAGCAGTGACAGTGCGCTGAGCAGTGACACAGTGTTCTGAGCAGTGACACAGTGCGCTGAGCAGTGACACAGTGTTCTGAGCAGTGACAGTGCGCTGAGCAGTGACACAGTGTGCTGAGCAGTGACACAGTGTGCTGAGCAGTGACACAGTGTGCTGAGCAGTGACATAGTGTGCTGAGCAGTGACACAGTGTGCTGAGCAGTGACAGTGTGCTGAGCAGTGACACAGTGTGCTGAGCAGTGACACAGTGTGCTGAGCAGTGACACAGTGTGCTGGGCAGTGACACAGTGTGCTGAGCAGTGACACAGTGTGCTGAGCAGTGACACAGTGTGCTGAGCAGTGACACAGTGTGCTGAGCAGTGACACAGTGTGATGACCAGTGACAGTGTGCTGAGCAGTGACAGTGTGCTGAGCAGTGACACAGTGTGCTGAGCAGTGACACAGTGTGCTGAGCAGTGACAGTGTGCTAATCAGTGACACAGTGTGCTGAGCAGTGACAGTGTGCTAAGCAGTGACACAGTGTGCTGAGCAGTGACACAGTGTGCTGAGCAGTGACAGTGTGCTGAGCAGTGACACAGTGTGCTGAGCAGTGACACAGTGTGATGAGCAGTGACACAGTGTGATGAGCAGTGACAGTGTGCTGAGCAGTAACACAGTGTGCTGAGCAGTGACAGTGTGCTGAGCAGTGACACAGTGTGCTGAGCAGTGACACAGTGTGATGAGCAGTGACACAGTGTGATGAGCAGTGACAGTGTGCTGAGCAGTAACACAGTGTGCTGAGCAGTGACAGTGTGCTGAGCAGTGACACAGTGCGCTGAGCAGTGACACAGTGTGCTGAGCAGTGACAGTGTGCTGAGCAGTGACACAGTGTGATGAGCAGTGACAGTGTGCTGAGCAGTAACACAGTGTGCTGAGCAGTGACAGTGTGCTGAGCAGTGACAGTGTGCTGAGCAGTGACAGTGTGCTGAGCAGTGACAGTGTGCTGAGCAATGACACAGTGTACTGAGCAGTGACGTAGTGGAAGCAAATACAAAACAGAGCTTCACGAACAGATGTGAGTAGGATGATTTACCTTAACGACGGAACCAAGAGCTAGAGCATTTCCTACCCGAGCATCAGTGACGTTGAGTTATAAGGACGCTCTGTATGACACTACCAACACCCACCCCAACACCTTCACTCACCCCACCACCACTCACCCTAGCACCACCACTCACCCTAGCACCACTACTCACCCCTGCATTACCACTCACCCCAACACAACCACTCACCCTTGTTAGTGTAGTAAGGGTGGTTGTCATCACAACACTTGTAGGAGGTAGAGTCTGGGATCTTACACCAGTACTTGCAGGAGAGAGCAGGACCTAGTACACACAACACCACTACTAGTAGAGCTTCTCGCAGCATCCTCGCTCTCCTCTGCAACAGCAATGTTTAAAAGACGATGAGCTGCAACTGAACAAGACTTTTAGGAGATAAGGTGCAAGAACAATGTTTATGAGATGATGGTCTAAGATGCAACAACAAGGATTAGGGAATGAGATAGATTTGCTAAGATTAGTTGCATGTGCATGAGGTATAGGTATTATTTTTATAACAGAGACCTGGTTCAACCTGATTTCTAAATGCGTTCTGAATGTTCCATAGAAGGCTATAAATTATTTCAAACTGATAGGGTCTACGTAAAGGGCGGTGCAGTGGCGATGTAGTCAGAGATAGTTTGAGCTGTTGCATTAGACATGCAATAAAAGTGGAAGCGACGGATACCGAATATTTTTGGCTACAGTTTTTCGGTGGATGTTAAAAGTTAATCTTGGATGTGATTACTAGGCTTCCAATCCTTGATAGGGAACACTGTAAACTTGTATGGAACGATATTACTGAGGCATCTTGATACGAGAACGTTGTGTTAAATAGAGATTGTAACTTAGCCAAAATGACTGGAGCAATTTGACAGGAAATCTTGAGTATAACGAATTTTTTGATACGATCCATAATTGTTTTTAAAACAGTTTGTGATAGAACCAACTAGAGGAAATAACCTGTTTGACTTGGTTCTTGCCAACAAGGAATCACTAATAAATAATCTTGAGGTTAATGATGAGCTTGGGGGATGAGATCATAAATCATTTGGTTTCAATATATCATGAAATTACCTTAAAAACAAGAATCAAGTCAAGGTCCCTGATTTCTGTGCAGCCGATGTTTTGGGACTGAGAGATTATCTGGAAGTGTTCAACTTGTGTGACCTGACAAGTCATTATCCTGTGGGCCATATAGGTGGAGATGGGTGTCAATCTGACGTTTTCAAAGCATAGTTCAAGCTACCCCAGGCAACATTTGTTTGTCCAAATAGGAAAATTTGATTAAACAAAAGTGGCCCTAAATGGTTAAACATTAGATAAAGGCACCTCATAGGTCAAACGTTTGATAAATCTGCTCAGACGGACAGTAAATATTTAGTGAACTGAGAAAATTCATACATTACTTACTGGCCACAACGCAAAAATCTTGGATATCGTCTATTACTATAGTAAAAAAAAAAAGATAAGTTATAGTCACGATTATATGATAAATTTAAGAGAATTTTGGATTTTTTTTAGTAATATAGATGCTTCTAGTTAATTTTTATCTTCTTGCCTCGAGAAGAGAGTTTACTGAGCACCGTCCCTCATGCTGTGAATCACCAAACTGCCATAAAGACTGTAGAAATCAGTGCAAATAGCTGACTCACCAGTGATGTCATCTCCGTGCTTGGTTATTGCAGCATTCAAGTATTATTGCCTTTACAGATTATTTTATAACAAAACTTTGAGTGAATTAGCATGTAATATCGGAGACTGCTTGAGCCGCAGTCATCACATTGATCACGGTTCTAGTTGTTAAACAAGGCAGACATGGAGGCTGTTTATCTGTACCGTCTGATAGTAACCACACGTCCATTCATGTCTTGTAAAGGCAGTACATTTGACTTCATTATTCCTACAAGAGGCTATATACCTGACGGTTTTCTGACTTGGCCACCGGTTAAGAGAAGTAAGATAATAACAAGGACTTCAACCATGACAAAGGAAGATCCTAGGAGAGAAGGAAACTTAATCAAGAGAAAGAAAGACTTTGTCCAGGGGAAAGAAAGACTTCGTCCAGGGGAAAGAAAGATTTTGTCCAGGGGAAAGAAAGACTTCGTCCAGGGGAAAGAAAGACTTCGTCCAGGGGAAAGAAAGACCCTAAGTCAAATGAAAAGGACAATCAGAGAGGAGATTATTATTATTATGATAATGAAATTAAGCACTAAATGTGTAAGGGTCATGCAGCATTCCTATAAATGTAGGCGTGTACGAAGATATGAGTCAGGAGACAAGATTAAGATGGCTGATAGTAGAGAAGAAGGTTAGGCTTTTGTTAGTGTACAGAAGTTATGGCCTAACAAAGACTAGTCTCAGTGTCAAGGATCAAGAAGTCTTGAGTTCTCTTGTGACGGAAGACCAGAAGTGAATGCGAGTCCTGGGTTGCGTCTGGTCTTCTTCTACTTTTTCTTCATCTTTTTCTTCTTATTCTTCTTCCTCCTTCTTTTCTTCTTCCTCTGTGATGTTGTTCAATCCTACTTAGCTAAATTTGTTCTCTGTCCTAGCCAGTTTAGAGTTTTAATGATCACATTACTTTATAGTTTCGTATACAGTGATGTAATCATAAAATTCTATTTTCGTGGAGCACTGTTGAGGAACGATTTACTGTGGAATCTCGTGAATCAGTGAGGATATATGGCAGTAATTCCAAGAGCTCACCGAGTACATACTGTCTTCACATAAAACGTAGAAAGACTTATGTAATTTAAAGTATTTTGTGTCATGCAGGGATTTCTTCCAGAGATAGTGCATTAATGTGTCATGCAGTCTTATTTGCGTAGATGATGCGTTTAGAGGTATTTACGGACAACGAAGTTTTTTATTATTTGGAAGATCGTTGACGCACAAATGCACACCTCAGAATCCATCCAAAAAAATAAAAACTTTTAAAGGAGTGGACCGGTAAGCCAGCGAAAGGCCTCGGTCACAGAGCCAAAATCTCTCGTGCCAGGTCATCATCTAAGTCTCACGTCATGTTTCCTCAGCGGTATCTAAGCTTTTACTATTGCCTGGGAACATGTTTCTCTCCTACCATCCTCATCGCCTCCCTGAGAAGATTGATTGACAGCTTTATAATTTTAATTAACTTTAGCTTATTAGCTATTTCTAAGACAAGACCTTCAATCTGTATCAAAATTTTTTTATTATCTTTTAATATGTGCTTTGGTTTTGAAAATTATTTATATTAAAGTTCTCAGCATTTGTGAATCAAAATGACATGACTTTGTCACCTTAGTTGATGTAATAGAATGAAAATACTTATTACTGAGCATGTTTTAATTTATCATAGCGCAGAAAATGAGAACAAGATGCTAGTCGGCTGACACCAGGAGCAGTTGACATGATTATTTGTTTGTATAATAAATGATAATGGTGCTAACGTAACCCAGAGTTCTATTAATCAACTTTGTATTATTAGCTGAAATGCTTAATACATCTTTAATTAACCTGATTAAATTAAGCTAGACATGCATCACTCCGCTTCTCGTGGCATTTTAGAGATGAATTCTAAGTTATAAATGAAAAACTTATATTTTTCACAACAGATATATAATTATTTATAAATTTTTAATGCATCGACAATCTTCCATAAAGACAAACATGAATCAAAGAGTACACATTAACCATTACTTGCTCCCATGCTGCTTTTCCAGCAGGGTACTGGAACCATGGAAAATGTTATGTCGATAGGCTTTCTCTAATAAATGTTCTGAACTATACTTAAGTGTCTTTTTGTTCCACACAGGCGCAATGATCCACAAACTGATGAACCAGGGATCCCCAGCTGTGAATCACTCAGGAGTCCTGGAGAGCAGGTAGCAGGTCAGCCACAATACACCTCACTCCTCGAGCTCTTACATAATGCAAGGGCTGGGCTAAAGGTTAACAAGTAACTCTAAATTCTCCCTCTCTCCTCACCTCCTAATCGCTTCATTATCATTAATAGTTGAGTTTCATCCGTGATCCAGACGTGGAGCTCCAGACGTGGAGCTCCAGACGTGGAGCTCCAGACGTGGAGCTCCAGACGTGGAGCTCCAGACGTGGAGCTCCAGACGTGGAGCTCAGACGTGGAGCTCAAGACGTGGAGCTCCAGACCTCAATCTTCAGACCGTGTGCTCCAGACCTCGAGCTCCAGACCTCTAGCTCTAGACCTCGAGCTCTAGCCACTGCTCCAGACCTTGAGCTCCAGACCTGGGGCTCCAGACCTTGAGCTCCAAACCTTGTGCTCAAGACCCCATAAGCCCAACGTCGTGCTCTTTACCTTTTACTCCAGACCTTGTGCTCCAGACCTTGTGCTCCAGACCTTGTGCTCCATACCCCATGCGCCCAACGTCGTGCTTCAGACCTCTTGTGAGTTAAACATTGAGAGCCAAGAAATGTCACCGCAAATGACCAATTATTGGACGGGTGAGGTAGTTAGGTCAGCTTTATTCGCGGATCCCTACATGCGCGGAGCCAAGTCGCAGGAGATGTCTTGATCAAGGGATTTGCAGCTATTTTTGACATGTTAAGATCAAATCTGCTTGCCTCTCATTCCCAATTCTTGAGGCACTGTACTAAATACAAGGGTTTAGCGCTTCTCAATAAACATTAAAATAGTTTCATTACGCATGTAAAACGTGTTGATTATACGATCACATAATTTCAAGGAGATAACTCGCTAACTCATGTCAGGCAAGAATGTAATTTTCTAAGGCTCTTTTGGTACGAAATTTATTAATTTTTACATTAACATAAATGAAAAATTACATATTTAAGGGAAAATATCAAAAAGGACTAAATTTTAAATGAGTTCTTGCTAACTCACCAATTTTACCTATTCGGCACGACATATATATATACACACACATATATATATATATATATATATATATATATATATATATATATATATATATATATATATATATATATATATATATATATATATATATATATATATCCTAGGTAATAGGTTGGTTAACAGCAACCGCCCAGGGAGGTACTACCGTCCTGCCAAGTGAGTGTAAAACGAAAGTCTGTAATTGTTTTACATGATGGTAGGATTGCTGGTGTCTTTTGTCTGCCTCATAAACATGCAAGATTTCAGGTATGTCTTGCTACTTCTACTTACACTTAGGTCACACTACACATACATGTACAAACATATACATACACACCCCTCTGGGTTTTCTGCTATTTTCTTTCTAGTTCTTGTTCTTGTTTATTTCCTCTTATCTCCATGGGGAAGTGGAACAGAATTCTTCCTCCGTAAGTCATGCGTGTTGTAAGAGGCGACTAAAATGCCGGGAG